GAATATTTTCTGATGCAATACATAATGCAGTCGAACAAATTTTAAACTAAATTCACCATCGACTGATGCGACATCTATATGACAATTACCTATTTTAGATTTTCTTCCCCATAACAAACTCCAAGAAAGTTAGATTTTCCACGTTACAATCAATACATCACTTTCTTTTATTTCAACCTGCCCTCGAACTTTCCTGTTAAAGTGAGTTAAACTTTAATCCATTCAACTAATTTATTTTATCTCCTTATCGTTTAGATCATGTTCTTGAAAATTGAAATCCGAAGTAAGTTAGCTTTTCATCGTTTCCATCTCTTGGCTATTTCCTTTTTTTCAAATTATCTCTTATTTTGCACGTTCAAGTGAGTTCAGGTTTCATCGTTTCAACTAATTTCTTTTATTTCCTTATCGTTTAGATCATGTTCTTGCAAATTGCAACCCGAAATGAGTTAGCTTTTCATCTTTTCAGTCTCTTGGCTATTTCCTTTTTTTCAGATTATCTCTTATTTTCCACGTTCAAGTGAGTTCAAGTTTCAACTAATTTCTTTTATTTCCTTAGCGTTTAGATCATCTTCTTGAAAATTGAAACCGGAAGTAAGTTAGCGTTACATCGTTTCAGTCTCTTGGTTCTTTCCTTTTTTTCAGATTATCCCCTTAACTTTACTATTGCCATATAGTATTAGTGAGTAGTACTTAAATGCCGTTTTTTTGGTGATGCTTCCAAACAAGTTTTCTATTTATGCTCGGTTATCAATCGTGTTTTCCATGAAAATCATTTCGAAGCTATAAAATGTGAAGTCTCTCAGCTAGATAGCTTTGGATAGCTACGTTCTACATGACTAAATCCTTTCAGTAGAGGGTTGCTCTGCCAATAATCTATATTCCCAGATATTGAGAAAATCATGTGTACCTTTTTATGGATGATACACCCCTCTTGATTCAGATATCTACGTTTCCCCATTACGGAATTTCTTCTTATTCTTTATATGGATAATTAGAGTAGTGGAAAAGAGCGATTAGATATTACTACGTTAATAAAAGCATTAGTGCGAGGTTAGGTCAAAATAAGAAAGAATATCCTATTGATATTATCAGTACGTCATCAGGTCAAGTATGATAAAGATAGGATCAGGAGTCTATGTCAATCAATGAAATAATCGAAATGGCCTTAGTTATTCTTTATTTAGTTCATAATTTCCTTTCATAGTAGCGAAAAGAAATATAGAAGAAAATGGAGAAAGAAAAGAGCGAGAGTATAAAAGAACGGGGATATAGTAGAATAGAGGAGTAATTGGAGTGGAGAAAGGGGAAATAATTCTGGAGTAGTATTGAGAAGGAGTGATATAGATAGTTTAAGGGAAAGAGTTACTTGGCTAGAAATATTAAATAGAAGTTATAACTTATAATCGTGAAACGAAAATCGTTCTCCATTTATTATTATTGTGCGTATTGTAATTATTTATCAATTGTTATTATCTGTGTGTACTTATATTGTTATTAAAATAGATATCATCAAAACCCGTACCGTTATATTTTGATTTATCAATTCACCCAGAATCAAAGAATAATAACTCACAAAATATTTCGTTACAGTTGGCAACGCTAACGTCGCGTTGCGTTGTTTAATTTATTTTAAATTTAAATTAATTTGATTTGATTTGATCTCATAGTTTATTAATTTAAATTAAAAATTTGTAAGTTGTGACGTTTCGTATCTCGGTAAGATACTTCATCAGACATAAAAATTTATGACAAATGACATATGTACGTTTAAATAAATTTTTCTTTTCTTTTAGTATTAGTCATACTTTTGATAGTGATACGGAAAAGGATTCAATCCTTATCTAGCTATTACTATTACCATCTTGTTTTCCATATCACTATCAAACGTATGACTAATACTAAAAGAAAAGAAAAATTTGTTAATACGTACATATGTCATTTGTCTTAAATTTTTATGTCTGATGAAGTATCTTATCGAGATACGAAACGTCACAACTTACAAGTTTATTGATTTAAATTAATAAACTATGAGATCAAATCAAATTAAACGAAAATAAAAGAAGAGAATAAAATCATGTCTAATGATGAGTACACTTATCCCATGACTACTCATGAATACCTTCACTAGGGGAGGATTTAAAACAAACTAATTGGAAAGTGTCGAGCGCACACTACAAAAAAATATTTGTAGTCATACATGGATTTTATTTCTTTTCGAGACGAATGATAGTACGCCTCTTATAATATACATTCTCTATAAGAGTCAGCTCAAAGGGTACTGTTAACTGGTAGATTTAAATTATAAGAAATGGAATTATCGATCATTCAAGAATTAAAGGTCTTGCTATTTGAAAACTTGAATAATCGATTTACGATTGTTCTTCTAAATATTTTTGCTTTTCTACTTGATTCAACTCAATAAAAAATTGATGTAAGTCGTTGTTTAACTCAAAATCAAACAACAACAGAATTCACATTATTTGAAATGATTAAAAAGTTAAAAATTAATCATGTTAATAAAGTATGTGCAACACAATATGTATCAGCACCATCAACACCATATTTAATGAAACACAGTTTGTCAGTGGAGGCTAAATTCGCCCGTACAAAACTTGAAAAAGCTTCGATAATGCTTAGTTCTTAAACACAAGCCGATTCCGATGCTTGGCGTTGATCACACCATCGATTAGATACAAAATTATCTTAAATTACATATAAATTATGATGATTCACCAGAATTTTGGCAATCAGCAGGCGGTACATTTTTGATTCAAAAAGCTTTGTACAAATTGTTCTTGCTATTCCAGCTACATCTACACCAAGCGAGCAAGTATTTTCAACTAGGGGTCTGATTCTGAACAACAAAATAAACGTTCACTTGTCCTGTATTGTGTTCTAGTCATTAACATTTGGTCAAGTGTACATTTGGTTATTGATTATTGCTCATCTTAATATTAATAATATATTTTTTCTATTATGTCAAGATAAAAATTACAGTTATTCCAATTAGTTTTTTTTTGAAGATATTATTGAACAAATATTGAAATAAATATGTATTTCTTTTTCTTGAAAAAATAATATAAACTTTGAAGTTAAAAGTCGCCGTCGCCGTGAGAAAATAAGATTTAATATTGGCAGTCGTCACCTATGACAGGTCTACAAGGTTTGAGCAGCAGCAGCTGTCGATGATTAACTTGCTGCATCACGCATCTATTCTTCATAACTGTGATCGCTCATGCATACTTTATTGGGTATGTGTCAACGTTGACGTATCCGTAGCAAAAATAATGTGAAGTTGAGGGTGTAACAAAAATATTACTAAACTCATGGAAAGAGAGAATGAAACAGAAAGGATAATTTTCATTGCTCTATAGCATCATCGCATCCTGTCAAGATGCATCTTGCAGCTGTCACATCATGCAACTCGGATTAAACTGAAATTATGGTGATAGAGAGACGATATTATCATTAAAAAAATGTCAGAAATATTCTGTGCTAGTTTTTTTTTCAAGAGAAAGCAGCATTCGCATATTTTTTTCCAAGGCAAATATTTTGTTTTTGTGCAAGAAGCAGTCATTAGTGTCTGATACTGGTCTCTTGGGATTGGCGCAATCTGTCTGGCTCTGTTCGATATGTTCCCGCAAAAGTATTTGTGTGTGCTTTCTCCATCAAAGCTGAATTTATGCGTGTAGTTGATTCAGCAGTTCTTTTCACGTAATCTATTATTATACTTCGTTAAAGAAGAGTTTTCTGTGTCTATAAATCTGCGTGTCACAAGAAAACAAGGTTACCTATCTACAAACATAATACGTCATCATATTACTGTATTCTGATCTCTCTAGTACTTGAGAATTTAGCACAGTAATCGTACACGATGTCTCAAAATTCTACACCGATTGCAAATAACAATGGAATTCAAGTGATTGATCCACCACTTTTGAGAACAATTAAATTCTCTTTGTTTGCAGTTGCGGTGCCGATATCAATGTCTTGCTATCTATTCATAATCTACCAAATGCTGAGTCATCGAGCTCTGCGAGGAGGTCTTCATAATCATGCTATTATTGTCAATTTATGCTTCAACCTGGTCGTAGTTATGGTTGATTTGCCATTTATCCTGAGCTATCTGCATCTAGCACATGTTATACCGGCAACCGAAGCTCACTGTCTTGCTTGGCAGTTTGTAGACTATGGAGTGTGGTTCACGGATGTTTTTGTAACATTTTGGGCATCCATTGAGCGGCATATATTGATATTTCATTCGAATATGACCAATACGGCAAAGAAACGCTTGTTCTTTCATTGGATCCCACTGGTATTCTTTTCATTGTATGCCCCAACTATTTACACTTATTTAGTCTTTTTCTACCCAACTCCACACAACTACGATTTCACACAATACTTATGTGGTGGACCCTACTATTACAACGACATTGCACCATGGTTGCTTTGGTATGAAACGATTGTTCACTTTACCATGCCAAATATTCTCATCGTCGTACTCGGATTTGCTCTTGTGATTCGCGTAGTTGTGCAAAAGCAAAAGTTATGTCAATCTGCGGGATGGCGACAATATCGGAGAACGACCAAACAATTTGTCTTTATATCTTTAGTCTATATCTGTAATCTACCGTACATTATTGTGACAATTGTGCGATGGTCAGGATATCCTGATTTTGGACTGAATGTTCAAGGACCTTATTTCTTCTATATGCTCTACATTCCAACCTTGTTTTTCCCATTTGCTGTCCTTGTAACAATGCCAAACTTAAGAGAGAAATTTAGTCGATATTTTCATCAGAGCACGATCCTGCAAATGAACATTATTGCACCGACTAACAATGATGCACGCTAAAACATCTTGGTAGTGTTGTATATCTTGTTTAAATTGGAAAAAGATCCAGCCGAACCAATGAACTTGTTCCAATTCGAATTGAAAAGCGAACTTAAACGTTTTTATTCATTCATCTATTTATTTATTCCATGTTGTTTGGTATTTGTGAATCGTTTTCTTATTTAGCATAAAATATATAAAAACACTTCAAAAAGGATTTATCAGTCAACTAATAGTGGACGAACAGTAATCTTGGAAGTTCGAATGAATGTGCGATGGTTAGAGGCGTCAGCCGTATGGCTGAACCGTCGTAGCAGCCGATTTTTCTATAAAATCAGCCGCCGCTGGCATCAATACATATACGATCGAATCGAACATTTTTTTTAAATTTTCACCAGTGAATTTTTAACTCAGCCGCCACCGTCACATAAGGACTTGTGAATATCAGCCGGCGCCGCCGTTGAAAACATCATTCATGCAAATAACGAGCAACTGAAAATCTTCAAAAATTGAAAATTGTTGCCCGCCGCCGCCGTTCAACCCGTCGGCTGACCCCTCTAGTGATGGTTTGGTCTCACTTCATATACCGTTCAATAATTGGCCGTCATGTGTTTTATTCGTAGACGGATAGCAACATGAAAAAATGGCAATAGAGGAAGAAGAGAGAAGTGAGCATGTGATTTCGTCACCTTGCAGACACTGGACAAGTAAAAGTACAGCAAGTAAAAATACGAGTATTTTTTACTTAACACATGTACTTCGGGCTTTACTTGAGTATGGTTTACTTAAGTCATTACAGCTGTAGTTAGCACCGGTACTACAGAATGGGCATTTCTTTTCTCAAATATAATGTCATGTTCCTATCTATCAGAAAAGAGTTGACGAATCCGTCCGGATGAGCGCTATTTAGGACTAATATATAATTTATTGAAATGAACAAACATTTGTTGCCTTTTTTCAGAAAAAAATGCCTAATTTAAGATCACTTTCGTTGTAATTACTATAGTAGAGATACGAATGCTTATGATAAATTAATTGTATCACTTCTACAGTGAATGTGCCACCTAGAAAAGCTTAATTTGTGTCTTGAAGTTTCGAGAAGAAATACATTTGTCGATGGAAATGATTAGAAGAGAAATATTATTAATCATTTACCATTTTTAAACAAATTTACATTTAATATTCTTTCAATCAATCGTATTTTTAATCAAATGAAGATATTCAACTTACATTTGATGATTTTAAAGATAATAGGAGTATTTTGAAGAAAGAAATTCGGGTGTGGGTGTGAGAGTATTTTTGTTTAGACACCCACATCCTCAAGTTTAATTATTATTTAATTTTCGAGTAAGATCGATTACTAAAATGTAAGAGTTGATAATAGCAGATTGGTTTGTCTTTTCGTTAAAATATAGGTCAATCTGTTTGTTAATTACTCTTTGAGTGTGTAGCTAGTCATAATTGTCATGTAGTGATGATAGAATTCAATTCACTGCAGAGGATGAAGTAAAACTAAATCAGTTGTTGGCATCCTAATCATATCTTTCATAAATATATATCTCACTTAAAAATAACCAAAGCAATGGAGTGTATCAGCGATAATTTTATTTGATAAAAACAAGACGAATGAAAAACGGATTTTTCAATTGTTTTAATACTTTAGATTATCGATGTTTAAAATATCCCCTTATAGTCCAAATAAACATGAAGGCTAAGGATAATTTGATAATTGTTCTTGGTTCAGTCATAGTTGAAAGAATCTCCACAATCTTTTTTAAGAGTTCTGTTTGATTTCGCGGATGATGGAGCAACTCTCGCAACGTTAGTTGATCATTTATTCGTTGCTCTTGAGAACTACTATTATCAATCGTAGATGATGAAGGATTATTATGGAGAATTTGTTCACGCACAAAGCGAACCAACTCAGGAACCTCCGCGTCCGTAATCGGCTCTGAATCATTATAGGTTTGATCAACTCTTCGTTTGAATTCACGAACAATTGTTTGGAGAGCCACCTGAAAGTTTTGATTCTCGACCAAAGTGCTCGATACCGAAGAGGGTGTTTCCACGCTGCTCAATATACTATTATTGGATCCTGAAATTTAATAGCAGTACGAAATAAGAATATTAGTGACTATTCGCATAATTATTTAATTAGAGGTTCAACAATTCTACTGAATTTATACTGATATTCGAATCTCATTCATATTGCATTACTATTAGCAGTATATCGCTGAGTATTTTTAAACAATAAGAACTCAAAAATTATCTTTTCAAATTTGACACGCCAATGGTTACTCTTTTTTTGGAGACGTAAAAACTTATTGTAAAAATTCTTTTGTTGAATATATGATCTCTTATTCGTATTAGAGTTTGCCGAGGTAAACATGTCAGTTTGTAAAATTCTATGAATTTTTAACCAATTCAGATTTCTACAATGCCAAAATGTCATGATCAGGAGTGAATTTTATCGGGTGAATTTAACCATACTAATTTAGCACAATGAGAGAATCATTTTTCTGAGAGTTTCTGAAAAATGATTGTATAACAGTGTCAGATTTCAAATCGTGGCGGACATCTCTAGTATGCATTGATCCAAAAAATAGTAAAACTTTCCCTATATGATATGTATCATTAATCCAAAGAGAATCAATCTGACAATCGAATCGGATTGGATTATCAATGAATTTCTCTAAGACCAAGAAAATCCTGCTGGAACTCATCGTAGGGTTCTGATACAGGTCTACTGTTGACACCAGCTACTAATTAGTAGTTAAATAATTACATAGAGTTCAACCGTCGGCGGTTCCATAACCCAGACTCCCAAAGAATTTTTTCGGCTACTCGGATTCACTATCCGATTAGTTCATTGGAGTATTTTCGTAGAAGAACATGATTTAGACCAGAAATATGCTCAAAAAACAATAAAATCTGTCTTTTACTAACGTAGATGTTCTTATATGAAATACAATAGATCTTATTTTGTTCATGTTCGATCATTACAGATCAACGTAATTAATTTTAATCCTATCGTATTCTACTATAAATAAGACCATATTACTGTTCTTATTTTTACGTTAAAAAATGTGACCCTGCTACTGTATCGTATTTCATCATAAACACTCGCGTACCTATCGTAGTGTTTAACCAGAGTCAATTAAATTTGCTAAAATCATCTCATAGCATATCCTACTTATTTCCCTATATAAACTTGGATTGTAATTACTGAAACATAACATATGATGATTCGAATTTAGACATAGATGCATTTTCTTTCTAGATCAAGCAGTATTAGCGTTCTATAACAATGAACAATTAGATATTGTATATTCCACATGCAGATATAAAAATTCATCGTTGAAACGAAACAATGAATAAAATTCAGATTAGAACAGCCTTGTTGACATTTTTTACTTACCAGAATCTGACTGCAATTGTGCCTCGAAATTCTTGATTTGACGTATCAGTTTCTCCAAAGCTTTATTGAAATCATTTGGGGAAGAAAAATCACAATACACATGATCAGTAATCGTTATTCCAAGCCAACCGGTAGGATCAAATCCTGCTTCCATACGGCACGGTATGTAAGGGATACGCTTTTCAATAGCATAACACGCTTCTAAAATGTATGTATCAGTATATTGTTATTGAAATATTTGACAAGAGAACCTTTTCTACAATATTCGCTTGCAGCATATGCCGAATTGAAACAAAGAAGAACGACGTAAGAGTTTTCGACAGCGTTGGCCAATGCTTGAAGAAGAATACTTTCGTGTAAGTTATCCTCGTCTATCCATACCTCAAATCCGCGACGCTATTAATACAACAATGAAAAAATTTGACAGAAACGAGAAATTATTATATATACTCACTCTAAGTTCATCACAGATTCTGCGACAAATATCGTATGACGACTCACGATTATAGCTTATCATAATATGTTTTTTTCGCTTGAATGCTGCTGACCCAGTACCATCAGTCGTGATAGATAATTGACTTTGTGGTTGACCTTTCCATGAAATAATAGAGAACAAAAACGTTTTTTTTAAAGCACAGAATCTCGAGTACGTACTGGTTGATGTAGAAGGCTGCACCCCTGTTGAAAGATGTTCACCGTTCGCATTTTCAGCAAAATTCGTAGCATGATTACAGACATTAGAGAGATCTCTTTCAACTGATGCTAAAGCACCAGCGACTTGTGAAGCTGAATAAGAAAGATGAATGAATGCCGCATATCAACAATATTCTCTACTTACGAGCTTCTATTGGAGATGATTGAGGCGATGTTGCACTTTCATTTATCAATATTTCTGAAACAAAAGCCGCTTCAAGTATTTCCAGATTCCCACGGTTAATAGCCTCGCTGAATGTTTCTGCAAGAACAAATCATTTATATGAGATTAGATTTTAATGATGCCAATAACTCACCGAGACTTGATTCAGTAGCTTCATTCGAATCGTTTTCATCTGTTAAAAACTCTGCCTAAAAATGATTGATTTTTTTCTGTACTGAAAATTTTTCATATGATTCATAAAAATAAACGTACTTCTAAGACGTTTGCGGTAAGAAGTCCAAGATTTTCGGAATTTTTCAATTCTTGTGTATTGTCTGATGCAGTCATGTTTAAGTATTACTAAAGAAAAAGTAAATGAACTATGTAAGTTATATATACGTAGCAGGGGTAATATCCAGATACTATTTCTGATCTTTATTGCGTAGGTTTTTTCCTTCTTTCTGCTCGCCTAATCTAAGGAAACATTATTGCTATACGAATAAATTACAATAAATTAACTTTTCCATTCGCAACCGTAGAACAATAAACTCTTTTCCACTGCTTTAAATTGCAATGGAGAAACCCAAGGGTGAGGGTGTCGGTGCATGTGAGTGTCCTGAATGAACAACTCCACATATTCCACACTCACACCCTCAACTTGTTAATAAAACGTTTTAGAAACGACAACGGTGAAATTACATATTATATAAAAGAAAACAAAGAATATTCAATTAAGATGATCTACGATATTTTCAAAACTACTAGAAGAATGTAAAAATTACAATTTTATATTTTCAAGCACTCGTATCTATGATTTTACTTTCAAAGTTCACGCCTTTGTCGTCGAAATTGTGAAAGCAAGATGCTTCTTAGTTTGAGTCTGTGTGTATGCATCATCAATATGTTAACCAATAGGAGCATTACAAAATTATTCGATTCGTTTTACAACACAGACTGTTTTTTCAATAAAACGCACATGGTGATTGACTTTCGTTCTTTTTCATTCTCGCAAGCGAAGCGTTATTGTTGTACTTTTATTTCGTTTTGTTCTTGATTTCTTCTTTCACAACCAAAGTTCGAATGAATCGAAAAGCCAAGGCAAAAAAGAATCAACAAAAAATGCAGTCTCTTTCTCTTCTTCATTCTCTAAGGTGATATTGTTGATCATTTGAATCGATTTCTTGATTAGCACTTGTAAATTCTGAAGAGATGTTGCTAAATTTCCTACAGCGACTGCCTGTCCGATTTCTGAACTATAAGCTTTTGATTGAATTGCAACAGCTCAGATAATCTCAGAAGTTTTAATCATTGTAATTAGTCATACAATAATAAGCTCTGATCAAGTTTTTCCTACTATCAACAACTCGACAGAAGTTTTCTTTAATCCTAATGCAGCTTTCAGCTATTAACGAGATATAATTATCTTTTCATCATTTATTCTTCTACAGGATTTGTTTCTTTCAGCAGAACCTATTCGCACAGATGCTATTTTAGCATCCCCACATTAATATCTACTTCCTTACTCTCATATCCTGAATAAAAATCTGAACAAGTACCATTGAGGGCTGGCAAAGATCCAGAAAAAGCTCACTTTACCTAAAGTCCTTCACCCTCAGCCTAAAGTACCGCCATAAGACCTTACTGGTGGCGACACCTGCACACAGGATTTGGATCGGAAAAGTGACATTTTTTCGGAACTTTGTCACTGCTGGTACCATTCCCGATTCATCCTTAAAAATCATAGTATATTAATTTAAAGCCATTTTTGGAGAAAAATATTTCCGAAACTATTTTTATAACAACTGGTACAAAAAATGTAAAGCAGCATTTTATTGTTTAACTCACTATTCTCTAAAAAAAAAAGGTATTCTAGGAAACCCAACAGTGTCATTAATCATACCCATAGGAAACCGGCTTTGGAAGCGTATATAAGCGTTGATGAGAATTTTTTCTCAACGATCTCAATGATAAATCACCAGAGAAGGATAATCAGTCTGCTGTCACCTCACATGGAACTGAGAATGTTTGACATGACCGATCAGCTTTTCTTAATCGAAATAAATCTCATGGTAATCATTGTCGAATGTTTCCAACCATCTATATATAGAAACAAAGAAATCAATCGTTAGGAATGATTCAATTGAGACTCACCGAAAGCATGTTCTACTGATTGCAACGATCTAGGTATGCTTGAAAGAACATACAGTACATTGTTTCAAATTAATAAAATTACACATCAGAATCAACGTTTCAAACATTTAGAAAGAGATACGTTGTGTTGCGTTATTGAAATGACACTCACCGTGATCGTTTCGATATACTGACAATGAACTAGATCTTAAAAAATAGATGCACTGCGTTAAATTATTGAATTGAAACTCACCGGAATCATCTTGGTATGTTTGAAACGATCTAAATATAAAGAAATGAAATTATAGTTTGAAATTTTGAAATTAAACTCACCATTAACATTTATTCATCAAATAATTGACTTAAACACAAATAAAACGAGTAGTCATCTCCGCTACCATTCGCTTGAGCCATGACAGCACAACGCAGACGTATTTCCTGTACGTACGGATATCGATAGGACGGATCTATTGATTCTGTTCCTCAACAGCGATAGAAACTTTTCCCGAATTCTAAATCTAAAAAACACTTTTTATTACAAAATAAACTTTAAGTGATCGCATCTTTCAATGGAAAGTAATAAAGAAAGCAAAACATCAATATCCGCATCACCTTCAATTATTAAAATCTTCTACCGCAAAAAATAGTACCTGACTATGAGATGTTAATATATACTCAGCGAATCTAAACATGAATCTTTATAAAAACATTTACATATAAGGATAAAAAATCTCGTTTCCGATCAGGCCAATTTCTGACCAATGGACCCTCCGATTGAAAAAATGATGACGGATTCAGATTTCCGGATCTCGATAGAGTATTGCAAACTTTCAAAAGAATTGAGAACGGAGTTGAAATAAAAAGTCTAGCTTTGCAACGCTTGGAAACCGAAAGGGTTTGCGAGTAATGACTTCGGAAACTGAAAAAGTATTCTCGCATACTCATTTGGACACAAACTCAGCTTCATGGGCAATATTAGTTTCCTAAAATATTCTAACGGTTTCTTAGAATACGGTTTGTTTTCCGACGTCAAGAAAAATGTATTTCAGAGTACCTTAAGGGCATCTAAATCGGTATTGTAGGAAATTGGAGGTTTTTCGAGGTCTCAAAAGTCAAAAGGCTATTTTTGAAAACGCTGCAAGCTCTCAGAAACCCTCTGGGAGACGTTTTCAGGCTTCCGAGTGGTTACCGAGCTTGTTTGCGTTTTCTGGGAAATGGTTTTCTTTAGAGAGTAGCTCTATCTAGTCATATCATAAAAAATTGTTGACCAATAGATTTTGCTCAAATTTCTAGTCACAGACCTATTCGACAGTTTAGTCCAAACGAGAAACATCAAACATACGAACCTCTTATTGATCAAAAATATGCAGATTTTCAGATAGAGATTGGAAGGAAAACGTACCTGTTGTTCAACACAATAGAAAACGAAAACGATGACTGCACACGAACTTCATTTTCATATTCAGCAAACATTTACTTTAATTACAGACTTTGATGTGTTTCAGATCATACAAAGATACCATTGCATTAGCAAGCTTTCATCTTTACATTCTAACTGTAGCCTTGCAAATAAACAAGAGAAAAACAACAAGATTCTTTTTCGGGCGAAAAGATCCTTGTTGCTTCCATGATGTTTTTTTCCAAAAAACAGTATTGTACAGTAGTAATCATTATAGCCGCGTTCGATTTCTAATGATTAAGATATTTTTGGCAACGCAAAGAGTAACGGTCTCAAAAACGTTTTTTCCTATTCGGTGTAGCACACCAATGAAATATCGTCAATAGTTAAAATAAGCTCAAGAGTGAACCCTTTCGATGACGCCTCTACCAAGAATACCTAGAATAAAGCGTGCGAGAATAGGTAAAAGATTGATTTCTCCTCTGCAAAGTTCTCATCCACATTTTTAGCAGCTCCACCCGAACTAACACACCGCACGGTCTCCTTCCATAGCATAATGTTTCTGTCAGAACCATACATGCTGATATTCTCACATCCGCACAATTAAAATGAATTTTAGTTTAATTATTGTTGAAAAAAACGATTTTCCATAAAAATGGATCGAGCTATGTTATCTAAAATCAACAACAATCGTGATTGTCATAGGAATCGATTTGATAAAGTTGAATTATTCTAATTGATTTGCAGCATTTGATTTTGTATCGAATGCTGCTCGTGATTGTTCTAAGCGTTTCAGTGCTTCTTCAATTTGTTCCGTCTGCATGTCTACAGACAACCGTGCTTTTCCTACTTGTTCATCGATAGTAGCTGCCGTATATTGAAGCTCATCAATTTCAGACTGAAAGCTATCCAATTTTTGAATTGTGACGCCCACATTTTCCGATGCAATACGCACAAATTGTGTAAATTCGTTGAACAATGGCATAGTTCGTTCATATTTGCGAATATTAAATTCATCTTTGCCAAATATCCAGCGCCAAAAGTGTCTCTCTTGAGTTCATCAATATCATCTTGGGTCTTTTTTTTGCCGTGCTGTGTTATACCTTCAATTGTACCCAATTTTTCCTGAATCTTTTCAAGCGTATCATAGGCTTTTTGGGCTTTCAGCCTAATGCGCTCAATTTCAGTGCGCATCGACGAAATATAGTCATGAAAAGAGTGCACAGCGACACGTGTTGCCACTTCCGATAATGCAGATTGAATATCGTGTTTCTTTAGAGCTTCAATCTTTGGTGCGACTTCCTTGAGATCTTGTAACACATACTTTGTCGATATTTGAAGATTTTGAAGTGTGCCACCAAAAGAAACAACCATTGACGTTAGTTCATTACCACCTTGTGTAACAAGAGTTTGAAGTTCTTTGAATTGTGTACTTAATTCATTTCTAGTTTCAATCTTAATGTCGCTAGCATCAATAACAGCTCGAAGCTCAACAATACTCGTTGTTGCACGAACAAATTGACGTGGAGCATTTACTTGTGTATTTTTAAGAAGAAAATCAGCCAAGCTAGCCGTTTTTTCGACAGCGATGTTGACAGGTGGTAGGATAATGTTGTTTTGACTGTCAATTGCTTTCGGGCAAGCGTAATGCACGAATGGTATAACTTGTGCTAGCCATGAACAGATGACTAATGTGTAGAAGAAATAAATAGCCAATGCAAAAATAGCGAGAACTATGATGACGCACAGAATGACCTTAATGATAGGTTTGATCATATACCAGACACCAGATATGATCCCCTTTGTAATATCGTCCGCTTCACGAATCATGGTGCGTGTAGCTGACATTTCTGGCTGATGTCTGTTTGTATTCGTGCGGGCTCCATCTGTAAATAGTAGATCGAAAAAGGAAAAATTCAATTCAATTCTTTCATCCAATCAATTCTCTTCATCCTTGCATCTTTAATTTGCCGAAACCATTCCGAGGCTCCAATACTGCAAAATCTACGAGAAGAAAAATATTTTGATCTGCCTTTTGCGTTCAAGAAACCATAATTTATTCATCATACGATGGACGTCAATGCGAGTGTTGGTCGTGCTAGGACTCTTGGCTCTAAGTAACGACCGCATTCGCGTCCGCACCCAGGTCGACATGTTCTTATCTTTTCTAAATTTGTCTTAAATGATCAGCCTGCTTAATGAAATTCTAGAATAGTATGCGTTTTAGCACTTTTCAAACATAAACCAGTGAGAAGTAGAAATTTAGATTGACAGACCTTTCTTTGTATGGGCTTTTACAGAGATACTTGAATGAAAATCAGAATAAATGATTTTTCAACGTTCATTCATTTTGAAATGCCTCTTGCCAAGAAAGCTGGAATGTTTATTGATGATCAAATAGGCCGTTTTTTGTCTCACACACAAATTTTGAACGTCCCGAGGCAATAGAAATCTATACAGTCTACTGCCGATAGAGAGGTAAGAACTTTCCATGGTGGCTGATCTAGCCAACGCAACTAATCAAGATTTCATAATACTATTCAATCAAATGTAAACGATGACTCTGCTAGTGTGGAACCATAGGGCTTATTTCATAGATGAAAAATTCTGCCCCTATGAACATGGTCATATAAGGGACTGATAATTATGACTTAAAAGCTAGAATTGGAAATGTTCTACAATTGAAATTCCTTAATCATATTCCCATACGAAATAATTATAAAAGGAATGGTTAGAACAGTTGCTTTTCAAAATATAAGCTTCTATTTCTTATGCTACACCTTAGGAACTAATCGTTCTAAGTGAAACATTTCAGACAATGTTCAACCCATTGCTTCCTACGTAATATCAAAAAGTCTTGCGAATCAATGAGCATCAACTATTGTGCCAAGAAGTACGTCCGCGTAAAGGACTAGATTAGATAGGGGTTATATGAACCGCCGGACGTCCAAGTGTAAGTCATAGAGATGATGAACATAGTGCAGTGACGTAACACATAATCGTCCATTGAACAGTGCGTAATCTTTCTGTGTATCTTTTCTCTCTAGATAACTTTCTCTTTCTCCGTATCCCATTCTCTCTCAATAACTTTTGTCTCTATGTATTTTCTTCTCTCACCGTTCTCTTCTTTCTTGGTAGCGTATATAAGCGTGTGTTTTGTATTAGATGGATACATTTGGATGTAGAGTATAGTTGAATAAACATCGTGTAGTAAAACACTAAACTATGCCTCTCCATTTGTCATAACGATTTAGAATGAAGTAGCTCAACTAACATCAATGCCGCGTATAACGGTAGAGTTAAAATTCTTCTATTTTTACGTTACAGTATAGTTTTGAATCATTACTCTCATTCATTTGGAAATATACTCCCTCTCTCGTTCTCTTATCGATTAATTGTCTATTGACTGAACTCGATGAGCCAATTACTTTTCTTTCCTTTCCTCTTATTCTATCGACCAATACAGTGGGGGTGTCGTTGATCTGGAGAAGAACCAAAAATCTCGCTATTAGATACTTTGTTTCAGATTTATATTAGAAACGCGGTTGGTTCAGTATTCGTAGGTCATCAGGTCATATTTCATTCTCTCCCACAGTGAAGCATGAGAAAGAAAGAAAAGGTGAAAAAGAAAGAAAGAAATGTCAACGGATAGAAATTATATGTGTTAGTAAGTGCTCAACATACTATAAGATACATTTTTCAAACGTTACAAAAAATGAGCGCTTGATCTAGCAAGAGATCTTCAGGATGTTCTTTTGAAAAATGCAGCGAGTAGTACTTACCTTCTAAGCTTATTTTGTTGTTATTGTTAAGAATGGGAAAAAAACATGATACCCAAATAATCGAACCAACACTATGGAAATCATCGTCGGCATCACTACTAGTTCTACAAGAGAAACAGAAACAGATGCTGCCGTAAATGAGTCTTCTTCGTTAATGTTGACTATTTATTGAGGAGGAGTGTGATCAAGGCGCATACTCTGTAGGAATTTTCTTATTCTCATCTATTTATTCGATTCGAACGCCGTCTTGATGAAAAATTGTATTTTTTTTCTTGTTTTTCCGGCACCTGGTCAACTCAGTCTCTTCTTTTTTTATCTACACTTCGATTGACTGTTGTGGAAAGAGTTAGAATATAACACACATAATATACGTCGGGTTACCTTCGGCTTTCTTAATTTCATTTATGTTTGTGTTGACAAATAAATAACTTTTGATATACTTAGCGATCAATGAGGTCGTTTTTTTCCAAGCTAATCCATAAATAATTATATATTCATTAGTGTATGTGCATAATAATTATACGAACCGAAACGCTTCATTCCCCTTTCGTCGACAACTTTTTCCTCCTTAGACACACCGTCATTTTACAATTAAGCCTAAGGTTGACAGTTAAGGGGTAAATAATAGATATCACGAAATAATACTATTAATTCATGGAATTTGAATTTAACAATATGACTGATACTAACAGTTTTATTCGTTAAAATAAAAAAAGTTTAGAAAAGAAACATGATGACGTTTGATTTCATTATCGTCAATATAACATTATAATGATAGAGAGATTAAGCCTATAGAACGTACTTTGTTTCTGAGAATAAATAGTTGCTTTTATAACTGAAGACTGGTGTGTATACTAACATGCAAACAACTTATGTTTGTTTCCCTATTTGAATAAAATTTAGGTGATATTAGTAATTACTATATTAGCGACTGTTATTCAAACATAATTCATTTAGAAGATTTTTCTTTATTTCAGATTTTTCTTAAAATACTTTGATTGGCAAGACTATGTTAAGTAACATGGCCGTCGTTGATATTGATAATAAATCTGAACCAACATCAGAGAACAATCCACCTCCTTATCAAAATCCACAGCTTGATTTTAATGGCGGATGGAAAGATCTTGGTTTTACAATTGTATTTGGGATTCATATTATTGTCGTCATCGTCGTGGGCTTAGTTTTAGGCATACCGATTGTAATTCCGTATATCAAACAAGTTTCATCGGAGAAACCGCTACTACTATCGCCTGATTTCGACGTCAAACCTTTCGTTTACTCATTGAGTGGTGCAGCAGCTGTCGGTGGATTACTGTCTTTTCTCACGATTTTCGCTTTACAACTGTGTGCTGGCCACTTTATAAAATGTTCATTTTTTATGCTTATAATTATGTATAGTCTTACGACAGTGACTCTCTTTTTTGTAGAACCATTACTTTGCATCATACCCGGACTGTTAATATTATTCATGTTGATTTATATATCATGTACTCGAAAACGTATCGCTTTTGCTGAAGCTCACTTACAAGCAGGGTGCGCTTCTCTACGTAGTCGTCCGTCATTGGTATTAATAGCGCTCATCGTGCTCATTATAGAATTCATGTGGTTTATTTTCTGGTGTCTTATGGTCGTGGGTGTGATACGTGCCTTAAATATTGATTTAACAACTAATAAAGTTAGCATGACCAATAATCCAACTGAGTCAGCTACAATTTATGGTTTAAATGCAAAAACTACACCAATAACGTTATCGTATTGGATGAGAGAAGAAACAAAAGCACCGAGAATGAATAGCTATTCCATGGATGAACAATCCCAATATATGAATACAAGCCCGAATTCCCTTTCGAATCCAGAACAAGAGAATAGTGGTTTTATTTATAAAATCGTTGTATTTTTTCTATTATTGTCATGGTATTGGGGTGCAATTACATTTGGAAATATTATTAATTTTGTAACAGCATGTACTGTTGGTGATTGGTGGTTTAGTAATGACGATTGTAGACTCTACGGAATGAGCAATAGTATCAAGCGTGCATTCACGACGAACCTAGGAACTATCTGTTTTGGTTCACTTTTTCAAGCTATAATAAAAACTTTACGGTTTTTTACAGGTGATGGGCGTAGAAAAAATATTATAGTCTGTATTATTGACTGTATTCTTCTAATAATCGAAAAATTAATTGGTTATCTCAACGATTGGGCATTTACTTTTGCAGCACTTACTGGTGAAGGATTTGTTCAAGCTAGTCGAAGTTTTATAAAACTGTTTGAAAAACGTGGCTGGACAGCAATCATCAATGATAGTATTATTGGAACTACTTTAATGTTTATCAATATTGGAATAGGTCTCATTTCAGCTGTCGCTGGCGGCTCTTTTATCTACCTTACGATGGTTCAATCATCAAAACCTTTTTTTGCTATAATTTGTATATCTTCAATTAGTTTTCTAATTGGTTTATTCATCAGTTCAATCTTCACGACACTTTTGGCATCTTGTGTACGAACAGTATTCGTTTGCTTTGCTCTGCATCCTGCAGCATTAGGTGCGACCCATCCTGAACACTTGGAGAAATTGACCACAGTTTGGCACAAGTTCTATCCGGAAGAATTCGCCAGTAGCGGCTATGCAAATCAATTTAAGGAACCACCTGTTTACTCGCAATGTTGAAAACATTAGACATCGATGAAGAATTTAAAAGTTGATTCAAATGTTTGTTTTTTCTCTTTTTAATCATTTGTATCTTTATTTGCAGATGTTTATTCATGAATAACCATTAGTGTGTTAAATAGAGAACAGCTGTTTTTCTTTTTGTTGTATGCTTTTAACCGCTATTAGTGTAATAGATTACTGTCAGAAAATGATGGTCTTAATATCAATTCAAAATACGATTGTATAGAACTTCTGGTTCCCGTATTTCGAGCAAAAGATTTTGTTTTTAGAATCAATATTAATATGTTTTTTGCGATTCCAAAAATGATTTAAAGATGTTTGTTTTTAGTGTTTCATTAGAAATGGTTTTGAATATGATGATTCTTCTATTGCTTGTGATGAAGAGGTTAGATGACAAGTTTTCTACGAGAAACATGAATCCAAATGAACATGTTTAGTTGCTGCTATGTTTTTATTGAAATTGATGAAACATTGAACTGTACAAAATATTCTTTTATAACGAAATGAATGATTGAAAGCACCAATGAAGAAGAAATTAAATGATAATCGGCAGTGACAATGAAGATGAGCGTTGAACAAGCATAAACATAAATAAGAGTGAAAATTACTTAAGTTTTAGGGTAATCAGCAATTGGAAATGTTGATTATGCTATGGTGATAAGCGCTGACAAAAATTTCATCAACATTACTTAAACTGTATTCATGTTCTATGTGAAACTTAGCGATAAATTTTAGAGATATTCTGACACTGAATTTTCAAATATTAATTACATTTCTCTTGGTGAATTAACAGTGATCGCTCATCGTCGTATTTTTTCTATGATTGGAATCATAACTGTCATTGATTAACTGTTCTATTTAGTAAAATAATTAAATATGATATCAGAGAAAATCCAAAAAAATAGTCTAATCTTTTGACAAACTGATTTTTCAATCCATGCTCGATGTATATGTATTGAATCTAATGGTAAATTTCTAACAAATACATGGAAGTGTTTGCACCTAATAAGATTAAAAATGTATTTGATGATGTACATCAATTTTCCAAATTGGTGATAAGAATAATTTTCTCTCTTGCCAAGTTGTATTCGATAAATTATTGTTGATTGAGATAGAAAGTTCTGAAAATTGCATTTAAAACTTGAATAAATAGCTGCCACAAGACAATCTACTGAATAAGTTATTAAATAAACAGAAGCGGAATTCAAATTACTATTTCTAGATGAGTGCAACTTTATTATATTATAGTATTACATTTAAAGTGAAAATAGATGTTGACATAAGATTATAAATTTTCTCTCAAAATTTTCATTTGATGAAAGAGACTGAATTTATACTGACCGTAGTTTTATAAAAAATTATGTAAAAAGTACAATGAACACATGATTTCTCTTATTATTACAAAGAGAAATTTTCATCATTTCAAAATAATCTTTTTTTAAGCATTTCTTTCTTCATACTGCTTTGAGGAAAAAAAGCACTGAAATCATTTTGACCGTAACTTACTGGTGAGTAAGTGGGATTATAAGAAGGGTGTGAGTGAGAATGAGGGTTTGTTTATATTATATAACAATAAGAAATAGATTCAAATGCGTTATACGCGGCGTTTCGACTATGACTTAAGTAGCCACCATATGGTATATTTGTGAATCTATTTAAACTACATTACTAATAGATTTATTCCAAAAATATCCTATGCGTTCAAACAAGTTTTCAATAATTTCGTAATGAAATCGAAAAAGAAGATTTCATGTCTGGATAATATGAAAAGTTATATTGAAAAAAGTATACCGCGAACAATTTCGTTCTAGCTCAAGGGACTCCTCATATGGTTAAAGACACTTCAATCAGATAACAAATAAGAATCGAATTACAATATCTTCTACAGGTCGTCAAGTACTTGGTTTCATACGACAGCATAGAGACTATTGTAATTTGATTCTTTATTGTAATCGAGTTAAAGTATCTTAAACCAGCTGGGAAGTCCTTTAAGCAAGAACAAAATCGGCCGTGGCATGCTCTTCTATCAAAAATCTCCTCTTTGTAAACATACCCTTTACAGCTCAGAAGAATGATTTCGATAGTATGATCCTATCGGATTCGTGTCGGAATCTTATCGGATATAATATGGATTTCATTATACCTACGAAATCTCATCGGTATTCGAGTGTGGGACCTACAATCAAAACTCTAGTGTTGGAATCCGATAGGTTGCAGTGTCGTAATTTAACGGAATCCAACATAAGCATTCGACCCTTGTGTTATGTTGGCACTATATGCTTATTCATTGGTGATTAAGAAAATAGTTGTTCCGTCGGATCCGTTAGTGGATCCGTGACCAGGAATCTGATCGGTTTTGTCGGCTTGCCAGATTCCATGAGATCCGATAGGATTCACTGTCGGATTCATTCATCTGGGAGGTGAATTGACTATAATTTGGCATCTTCAACATTCATGGTGGTGAATTTTGTTTAAAAATTTTCTCAATGGATCATTGCTAGCTAATTAATCTTTTTGATTCTAAACAAACCTGATGATCATCTCTACCAAAGAGCGAGACATCACTGATAAAAAAAGCGCCGAATGATAAACGTTTAAAGTGTTTATGAAAATGCAATGTATGATATACCTTTTGCTACCATTTAGCAGCATGCGATAAACCCGTTTATCTACCCGTCAAAAGGCGAAATATAAAGGTTTATCAAGTGAATGTACCGTGTGCCGAAAGGTTTATCATAGAATTTATACGACTGAACAACTTAAAAAGGGTGTATCCTACGTTGCATTTTCATAAACCCTATCGAAATTGTTAGAGAGTAGTCTAACAAGTTATTTATTTATTTATTCTTATACTTCCTTGTTTCGTCTTTCTACGTTATGTATTTCTTATATTTGCAATCCAACTCGATATGCACATACGTCAACCGCTTTAGTCACTCTTTCTTTCCTATCTCTCTCTCTGCATATGTCTCTATTGTGTCTTCTTTCCTCTCGTGCGTGGCGACGTAAATAATGGCATCATTTCTTCGACTGGAATTTAAGTGCATTTATAGAATGATGCACCATCATCTTTATATACAAAATAGTCCAGTCAAAGAAACAAATGCCTTTTCTTCCTTTGTTTCTTTTCTCTCTCTTGTGTGTATGCGTGTGGGTTGTATAGTATAAATAGGAAAAAACCGAATAATAAAGAAAAGATTCAGATTCAGATTAGGAATCGAAAATAGGAAATTTGCTGTTGATTGGTCATATAGAAACACCCAGGTCAAATACGTACGGAGGGAAACAGTCTGATACGGTGATTCTTCATCGAATTCAAGTTTCAAGTTTGACACTACTGCCTGGTTCCGGAACCGATAAGCGAATACGGTTTCTATTTACAGCAGGATTCCGGAGTACTTTTCCGATCGGAAACGAAGGAATATGAATAGTTTCCGATCTAGATACGTAGCCATGATCTGGCCGTTTCTAATCCAAGTATGGAGTCCGGATTGCGTCGTTCCAACAACCGGATCCGGCGAATAAGAACTATTCGATGTTTCCTTTTTCTAATTGAAAAAAATTTGTAAATTCCAAGGATAAGTACATATTTCTTATTTGAAGTGCGAATCTGCAGAATTTCTGCTTAGAGTTGGATTGAAACTGACTTTCCAAAAAGCATCACAGAATATCGAGTAAACAACATTTTCCGATTAAAATGAACAGATGAATGAATTTAACTGAATCTTATTGCCGATTCTGTCACATAAAATCTTTACGATATATTGTTAATCTAACTAATTTTGATTAATATTACATATAACCTAACGTAATACCAATTACTTTTGGCATAAGTCCCATTAAAATTGGATTACCACCATGGAATACAAATAGGATGAGCAGAGTTTAATTGGTCACATTTTCGTATGCGTTTACTCTATCTGATACTAAGATGCCTAACATCGGAGTTAATATTAGATTTGTATTTTCTCACGTTTTGTGTAATATTTTAATATTTGTAAACAATAGCTATCAAAAATTGTAAAACCTAGGACTAATGACAGCATTTTCTGCATCGAAATAATTGCTCGTATCTTTTATATTTTTATCTAAATCGATTGACACTTGATAATAGTTTGAAGTAGATCATCATATTATATAGCCATGTAGAAGTACAAAAAGTGCATAGAGATAGATTAGAAAAATATTTCTGACTAATTATTGATTCGAAAGGAATCTATTAAAAGAAATACAAACTGTAAAAATGAAATAATTTCGTGCATCCACACCCTTAAATTGGATTATAACCTAATGCAGAAACTTTATCATAAGCACCAAGTGTAATGAATTATTTTGTGTGTTAATGTTGAAGCTCGTAACCAACCTTTGCTGATCTGAATCTTTTATAATCAATTTTATATTAATAATGACTTCATCATGATTCAAGTAAGTACATCAAAGTTATCGATTGGTAGAGTTCACGTTGTTCGATTATTTTTTAATGAAGTCGTTAAATGCTACGAACAATTTGTTACAATCTTCTTCTTTATTTCGCCTTCTTTAAACATTAACACCCACTTAAATAGAATAGATACGAGAAGAAGAATGGAATGAAACCGAGAGAAGAAGAGAGAACATACTTATGGCAGGGCAGATATCTCCTGACACAACACAATTTCATTTGAATATTGGTCGAATACTCAACGACTTTGGTGGGATTTTCGCCTAATATTTTTAACTTTTCAAAGGAGAACAAAATACTCATTGAAAGCGTGGTCAATTAAGATAGAACGAATTGATAAGATATTCAGATCTTATTAAGATAGATATTTAGCTAATTTGAGATTTAAATTGATTTTAACCTAGCTTTTACAAATAAAAAAACGACTGATGTGGTATAATCTTTAATAGGCTTCGAATTCCAAAAAATCAGTATTAACAATGTAATCGATTTGTAATTCATTAAAATTAATCGTGACCTTTTCTACTACTCACTCTACACTCTAAAAAATCGGTACTCTACCGAACCTTAACAGTTCCACATTTGTCCATCGAACGATTTTAAGTTCCGTGAAGTGGAAAACGTTCCGTGGTCTCCTTTCAGAACTATTTTAAGTTCAGCAGATTTCATCAGGTTTCGCAATTTTGCGCCTGAACTCTTCGAAGGTTCCGTAAAGTAGTTTGTGGTTTCGTACGCCACGTACCGATCCTCTGATAGTTTTGTGAAATGGCAGAAAGTTTTTTATTATTTGTGCGGAACTTGTCAACACTTTCTGGTCGGCTTTAAGGCTTCGTAATATGTCGACGGAGCCATTGATGGTTCCCTAAGCAGCCAAAAGGTTTGGAATATTTTCTGTAAAACGATTGCTGGTTTCGTAGAACCTTCGAGGGTCTCGTATTTTTTGAACTGAACGGTTCCCACTTTAGTATCCATGTCAAAGTTTCGTATTATTTGTACGGAACTTTTTCACGCTTTCTAGTGTGCTTTAAGGTTTTGTAAAATACCGACCAGACCAGCGTTCGTTTCGTAGACTATCTCAAGGTTTCATAGTTTTTGCACTTAACTTTTCACCGGTTTATTATCTATGTCAAACTTTCTATAGCTTATCGGGGTCCCGGAGTCCAAATCCGTTATCAGTTTATCTATCCGAGCTTTCACGGCTGAGAAAATCCGCCGATCAGGAGTCCAAATTTGACATGTCAGACTTTTTATTTCGACTCTGCCCTCAATTCTGGGGTAATTTTGATGTGATAAAAGTGAATAACTTTTTACTTTGTTATTGATTCATTCATATACAAGGTTTCAGGAGGTAAATTTGATTTCATAAAATTACAGAAATTTGTTTTGTTTAATTGTAGAAGGCCGTAAAGATGCAATTTCAGGTCAGTTTGATCGTACATAATTTAATATATTTGATTTGTGTTTTGTTCTAGGTTGATTCTTATACGCAGTTTTAGGTAAGTTCTCTCTTAGCAAATCAAGGAATTATTCGTTTTTGTAATTCTAGATTAGTATAGATATGGAGTTTTAGGTAAGTCTAATTTTATGTAATTATAAATTTTCGCTAATTTGTTTATTATAGATTGTTCCAAGTATAAGAAAAGTGAAGTAAGTTAGATCTTATAAAATGATTATGTTTATTCGCTTCTGTATTTTAGGTCGTTTCAATCATGGAAATCACGGGTAGAGTTGGCTTTAATCGTCTGGTGTCATCCGCGTGTATGCATACTATTCTAGTGTTTCTGAAAACCCAAGTATGGCATAAATCAGATCAATCATAAGTAGAATGAAATAGTCTATAGAATGATTTTCCTTGAATGCAGAAAATTACTCTATAGACTATTTCATCTTATTTTTGATTCATTTGACGTATACCATACTCGGATTTTGAGAAATACTCGAATAATGTGCATACCGCGGGCGGCAGCACAGGGTTAAATGAAATTTTTGACTGGAGAGACAATTTAGAAGAAGGTTTAGTGCAAATAGTTTTGCATGGAACCTTTGTTGGGTACGAAACCTTTTTATTGAATGATTTTTAAGAGGTTCTTTACGAAACCATTGCTACGATACCACTTTTTTAAATTATCGCGAAGGAGGTTGGTACGAAACCTCACTTTTTACAAACCCAAAAAAGGATCTGACGATGTGCCAAGGATAAGATCCTTTTTAGGTTGTGTAAAAAACCTTTTTCTTTAGAATGTAGTTCATCTGAAAAATCTACCTTGATTTCCAAAACCTATAATTAGGTCATCGCCTATTTGCTTTTGTCTGTAATGGAGTATTAATTGTTAGCTCATATATTTAACAATGGTAGAGACTAGTTACTATGGTCTGTAATGGGCATGTATCAGAGACCGAAATCGAATCGACTCCGAATGGAACTTCGAAACTACCGAATCGAATCGAATGAATAAACAAAAATTGAAAAAAGCCGAATCGAATCGATTCATTTTTTTCCAGCTTCATTCGGCTATTCAAAATCATTTTCTTTGTTCTGGTGTTATGGTCGAGGGCAGTTGACTAGAATAAGGCCACAAACAGATAAAACAGAATTAATCACTAAATCGTCTCAAAAATATGACTTAAGCGTGAATTAACCAATCACGTTAATTAATTCTGTTTCTTTTTTGGTCTGTTTGGAGCCTAAGAGATGACGCATGAAAAAGGACGTCGACTATTTCTCTTTCTTTGTTTCTGCCAGTCGTGCTTATTTAATGGTCATCCTTGTTCTGTTCATATCGTTATCATGATCAAGTGCATTTTGATTGGCATAAGAAATACTCACTTACAACGAGCGTTTCATCTTTCTTTCTTTTTTCGTTAGTCAATTTAGGCCCCAATCACGCTGAGAAGTAAATTAACATTATAGTTGAAGTAAGCCATGTGACTGGTGCATTAAGAGTTAAGTAATACTTTAAAGGTGATTTGAACTCTTAATGTATCAATTAAATTAATGAATAAGACTTTAACTTTATTCACATTTCCAGTGCGATTGGGGTCTTGATATCAACCTCTTTATTTATTAAGTATGGCTACGATCAACTGTAAATATAGATCCATATACAGTAAATGATATCATTTTTCTTCGTTCTATAGAAAATAAACTTATTTAATTAGTCTACTTAGATGTGTTCATTAATTTATATTTTATGCGTTCTTTCTTGAAAAAAATGAATAATTCTTATGTATATCTTCATAAATTATATCTATTCAACATATTTCTATATAAGATCGACAGACTATTCTCATTCTAAGACGATGACAGTCTGAAAACAACAATACTATGTAATAGTGAATACCATGCTTTCTAAACCCAATTTGAGTCGAATCGAATCGAATCGATTTTTTTCGTGTTTTTATCCGAATCGAATCGAATGGCACTTTTGTCATCGGTTTCCGTCTCTGGCACGTATTGCTTTTTTCGTGTAGTCTGTAATTAAAAAAGAAACAAATAGCAGTCTATTTAGTGAAGCTCCTCGTTAGCATAATTTTAAACTCATTAAAGTTTGTAATGGGGAGCGGATGGGGGGAGGGGCGCCGCTAAAATCTCGCTTTTGAACTTACACTCACTATTTTCTTCGAAAATAAATAACCCATTCATATGGATTGAAAGCATTGTCAATCGATTATATTCGAGAAGAAAATCATCAGTCGCCGATGAAAATTGACTATTCGTAAAATTTGATTCCAAATTGATTAATAAAAAAGAATCTTTCAGCGATTATTTTAATTTTCAATCGATTTTAATAGAAGAAAGTAAGAAAATCGATGATAATGCATGAAAAAACGTTGATTTTGAATCCAATGCGCGAAAAAGTAGATTAGAATCTTAAAATTAATCAAATAAAAATATAATTCCATGATTTTTATGCTTATCGTTTTACATAGGTTGCCATATACAAAAATAGATCTTCTCATCTCGAGATGCTCAGAAAAAAACTTTCCAAAAAAAGAACAATGGATGGCGCACCAGCTTAAGAATAAATCATTTCATCATTGTTCGACTCTTGCCAGCATTTGCATAGAAAAACATCTGCCCACCACCAATGTAATCTTACAGATTTTACTAGGACTAAAATACACCAGCATCTGCCGCCAACGTCATTATTAAATGCGTGTGCATCTGCCATAGATGAATAGTGTTGTGCGTTAATGTGCCACGTTTTCTAATCATCTTCTATAAATAATATTCTTACATTCAAAGTGCATAACGAGGTTACAATGAGTGACCTACTAACTAAAGCAAAGCTCTTGTGGTCGAAATAAAAAAATAAAAACGGTCCAAGCACAACAATTAATTTCAATACAGATAAATTGTTTTTCAATTTACTGATTTTTTATTTTACTCTACAATTCTAATTAGTACTGTTGACCGTCCGTTTCATTATTCAAGAGGAAGAGCTTGAATAATATTGATAAGAGGAATAGAAATGTTAATTTCGACGTTTCGCTCTGAATAATTATTTTTGAGACGAATCAATTTGATAATCATTAGAATGATTTTCTTTTATTGGAGCATGCCAGAGTTAGTGTTGGATCACACTAACGCAAAACGATGATTAAGTTGCGCCTTCTAGTCTAATTGGCCTAGGACAACCTCCCACACACCAGGAAGTATGGGTTGCATTACCATGAAGCTCAACTTTTGCATCAGTCAGTCATTTAACATTAGTGAAACTGCTGGTCTCTTTTGTTTTATACATATTAGAGCATAACGGACCATGACCTAAAAATACTTATCAGATGGTTGGATTTTTTGCCAAATATATTGCACCCAGTGACGAAATAATGTCCCTTTTCGTGTATATACGTCATCACTATTTCAATTCTTGTTGACTCCATTCATCTAACAAAAAAGTACATTCTTTTTCTTCTTTTCTTTTCGACCTACTTCTTTGACAACTATAAATAAAGGAACGGAAATGAAATGTTTGATACATAATCATCTACAGCACAAACATGCAAAAGTTGCTCATCGTAATAGCATTAGTAAGTTGATCCCTGTTTGCATCAACAAGCATATATGTATATCCTTCTTCTTTTTATTAGATATGCTTTAGCCTCGCTACGGCTGCGCCACATCATGGTCGACACCATCCTCACGGTAGTGGTCATCATCATCGATCGCGTCGTTCTGATCAGAATCCATCGGGTGGTGTGGAACATTCTGAATCGTCTGGAGAAGATCATCCTCGATCGCGTCGTTCTGATCAAGTTCCAGCAGCTGGTGGGGAACATTCTGAATCCTCTGGAGAGGATCATTCTGGATCGTCTGCAGAGCATCATTCTGAATCGTCAGGACAGGATCATTCTGAATCGTCTGGAGAAGATCATCCTCGATCACGGCGTTCTGAT